CTTCCTTCCGAGGAGTGGCTGGTGGGTTTGAACCGCCAGCCATCTGGTTAGCAGGCAAGTGTCTTAGCCACTATGCTACCAGAGCTCCCAAGCTAGCACTAATAACCACTTAACGCATGGATAAAAACAAAGACTCTGTAGCCAGCCTTGCCAGATTCAAATCTCAGCTCTACCACTTAGTATTTGATCTTAGAGAATATCCTTAACATTTCTTTGCCTCAGGTGTTTCATTGTATAAGCAGGAAAATAATAGCAACTTATCTCACAGGACCGTTGTCAGAAATATATGCATGATTATAAATTAAATATTTAGAATACTTAATAAATATTAAGTATTTATACTGTATTACTGTATTCAAAGAACTGCATCTAAGAGCTTAAGCTAGGAGAAAGCTTTAGGTGACACACTGCTTTCCCCAGATATAATCAATGTGAAGATTAGGAAAATGACAAACTGAAGTAAAACACAGAATGATTCCAAAATCCCCGATTCACTAGTTTCCTTCCTCTATGGGAAGGTTTAGTTGACCTCTAAAAAGGAAATCTGTCTACACACACGGAATTAGGAAGTAATCTTAGAGCAACTCTTTAATTGTTCCAGATAAAGAAACCAAGACCAAGAAGGGAAAGTGACTTATCCAAAGTCACAAAACTAGTGGTGACAAAAGCAGCATCAAAACCAGCCTTTCCTGAGTCCCACCCAATCCAAAGTTCTTTCTTTTTATTACTATTTTGTGTGTGTGTGTGCTTTAGGTGCAAATTTACAGAGCAGAGTTTGTTTTACATTCAACTTTTCGTGTACACTTAATTTCACTCCTAATTACCATCCCCAACCCTAACCCACTCTCCTCCCCTCCCTTCCCAGTGACCCCCACCAAGCCCCTCATAGTTACGCACTCCTGTGTGTCCTACATTTCCTCTGTGTGAATGTTGCCCCTCATCAATTGCTCCAAGGGATGTATCTCCATAGAGTATGTGGGTGCATCACCCTGGATTGAGGGGTCTGCGTATACATCTTGTTTACTATTGGGCTGAGAGCCAGCCCCTGGGATTGAGTTTTGTTCCATGCCCGAAGTGTATCTCAGGGCCATAGTATTGCCGGTCCCACCAGACTCCATCCAACCAGTGATTCTGGTCATTACTGTGTTGTTGGATTATGTTCCACATTTTTCCTCACACTCTATTCAGGATCTCCAGTTTTGATACTTTCCCGAGTGGTTGGCATCCAAGCCAATGTTCTTTCACCTCACCAGACTGCCTTCTCTTCCAAAATGAGGAAAGTCTGAATCTGAATAATAAATAACCTTGGGAACTATATGAGAAAGCATGTTGTGAACTAAATAGCTGGAAGGTGGCCAACTGGGACTCTCCACTGGTTCTTCAGTGACCATAAAGTATTATTCAATGATCAATAATCCTACAGAGATCAAAGCTAAATTATCACCCGATGCTACCCTACCTCTTTCCTTCCAAGTTTGGCTTCATTTCACTCCAATGCCATCACATAGATGTTGAGGTAAAATATTTGAGAATTTTGCTCCAGATAACTATGGTATAAATTTAACTGAAAATCTAAATTGTCTTCCCAAACCCCAAGGAGTAGGGAGCAATAAAAACATTTCTATTTGTTATAGCTGAAACACAGAAATGGGCAAAATGCCAGCCATAGCCATTTAGGATTTCTTCTTTCAGCAACAACAGAACCCTATTATGTTATGCTCCCCATTCAACTCTAGCAAAGATGGACATCATGTTGTTAATATCCATTTTCTTTCTTCATCTGTGGCCAGACTCACCTAAAGCAATCTCATTAACACCCCCATCACCCCAGAATAGAAATCTGTCCTAGGACTGCTATGTAAGATTCAATGTAGCAGATCTGCAGAGTTTTAACCTCTTCCCTAATGAAGGCTCCGTGAATTTGAAATATTGTCACCCAAAGATTTTCAAGGGCAAATATTCAAGGCTGGTTGATATTCTTTGTTTTACAGCCCACTGCAAAATGGAAATAGACACATACGCAATTTCTAGCCTGATGGCTACAGTGGAAGATGAGAAAGTACACTGAGGAACAGTGGGCCTCCACCAATCTGAAGGCGTTTAACTTCCTTGTCATGGTACCTAAGTAGAGTAGGTGTTTTACCACAAAAGCCATTGCCCAACAATCCATTAAAAACTCTTACGAGTAGTCCCAAAGAAACAAAACAGCAATTCAGCTCGCACCTCCACCACTTCCTCACCGTTTTCTGACGAAGCAAACATTCTGTGAAATCATCAAGCTCTATCTTGCATTCCTTCTGTGCCCGGATACCACCGATTCCGTGGGCACATTCTATCCATTCTTTTTCAAAAGCATAGCATCGAGCTGGAAGCCTGTAAGGCTGCTCAGCGCTCTGGATTGTCATCCACTGGTCTATGTTAATACCCAGCCTTTTCTGCACATCAAAGAAAGGCATGGCTGCACTGGAAAATAAAAAAGAAATAATGACACAATAAAGCAACCAAATGAGAAATGTCTAAGAAAAAGTAAATTGTTAACTATGATTAAACAGCCATCTCTCTGGAAAGTTACTTGATACCACTTTCCCAATTCTTTTTGTCAAACTTTTTCACTCGACAGGTTCTTCCAATTTATGGCAGATGAGCCATTTCTGTGCTTTCAAAAAACCCAAGGAAGAGAACTAAAGAATGATGCAGAAACATAAAACAAAAATTCAAACAAACAAACAAAACCACAAAACCTCTCTATGCTAAAGTTGTTGTTATTGTGTGCTGTGGAGATGATTTTGACTTATGGCAAACCCATGTGACAGGGTAGAACTGCCCCATAGGGTTTTCTAGGCTATAATCTTTGAGGAGCCCCATAGGCATACTTTGCACTCCATTGTAATAGACCATTTACTATTATGTCTCCCCTATAGGACTGACTCTGGTAGCATAGTGGCTAAGACACTTGCCTGCTAACCAGACGGCTGGAGGTTCAAACCCACCAGCCACTCCTAGGAAGGAAGGTTGGGCAATCCTACTTCCGTAGTGATACTGCCTCAGAAACCCAAGGAGGGGTCACTATGAGTCGGGTTTGACTCCACGGCACACAACAACAACAACAACATAGGACTGACTGCCTTGAGGGCAGGGGCAAGTAGCCTCAGTGACTGCCGGAAAAAATGAATTTCAAACAACTTAAATGTGCACTAGAGAAAAGGAAAATTAAATTCTGGCACCCCTGAGTAGAATATAGGCACTCTAGTGGTGCAGTGCCTAAGGCATTTGACTACTAACTATAAGGTTGGTGGTTCAAACCCACCAGGGGCTGTGCAGAAGGAAGATGAGGCAATCTGCCTTTGTAAAGATTTACTGCCTTGGGAATCCAGTGGGGGTCGCTAGGAGTCAGAATTATCATTCAGGGGATTTGGTTTGGTGTTTTATTAAAGTAAAATATGATACAGACATTGGGAAAAAAAGATAATATATGTGGAAAACACATAATAATGTTAAATGAAAAAATGATTACAATAATAGTGAAGAAAAACTGCACAAGAGGATGGACGGAAGCACAAAAAAGGGTCACTATAGTTGTGTAAGGACAGTAAATTTACCAACGAATTTAATTTAAAAATTTTCTATCCATTCTCCCAGTTATTTACTGAGTAATTACGTTCCACGCACTGGAATAAGAAAAAGACGTAGCTCCAACGGAGACACTAAAACGCTGACACACACTGGGAGCTATTCATCTATTCGAAGGAGACCAGAAAGTAAGAGCTCAAATAAGGGAGCATCTGCTCTGCCCAGGACACCTGCAAATGCTTTAAAATGGGTTAAGAGTTTGCCAAGTGAAGATCAATGGACAGAATATTCCAGGTTATGGCAACAGCGGAAAACACTGAGAAGACTCAGACCGGACAGGGTGCATGACGGGAAGGAAGAGGAAACAAACTAAAAAGGCTGGGGAGGCCGAAATCATGACGGGATATGGAGCGTGCACTTTAGGTGAAGGAACAGAAGGCCAGAGCATTAGTCCGGTAGAGAGCTAAATTAACCTCCAAACAGTGCGGAGATAGGTGCAGTCTAACGGCTCGGGTGATACGGGCTGTGGGGCGAAGAGCCTATGAAGGCTGAGAACATGTCCAGAGGTCAGGCCTGGACTACCAAGACACGCAGCAAGCCAAGAGCAAATCTGTTATATAAACCTAGAATGGCAGCGCCTAAGCCTAAACTGCCGCACGGACATACGCAGCACATACCGTACTGCCGAGAGTCCCTCTTCTCTTCTCGTTGGCCGCCGCTACTGAATGGTCGATTGAGACTCGGGTGCCTGCCGCAAAGCATGCCAGCACCGCGACACTTGGAGCACGACGCCTGGAGCCGACCTTCCCTCTGCTTTCGCATCCTGGAAACCATAGAAACCAAGCCTGTGGATGTGCGCCTGCGCGGCTGCATGGGTTGTCTTTTGGAGGTTTTCTTTGCGGGTATATGGACTTCCTATAGACCTTCGTTGTAATGGCGTAGGGCCTAAGGCATTTGACTGTTTATCAGAAGGCTGGCGCTGGGAAGGAAGACTGGGCAATATACTTCCGTAGAGATACCGCCTGGGAAGCCCAAGGAGGGGTGGTCATAGTCGACACTGACTCCATGGCAGTGAGTTTGGTTTAGTTTTGGTTTTGGTTTAGACGACCGCTTTATAGAAGACCTAGCCGTTAGTGAGTTCCTGCTCTATCCTCGCACTCTCACATCTCTGATTGGCGAGGGACTTGATCAGAGGCGTGCGAGAGAAAGAACTTTGGTTCCCTTCCCACATTAGTAACGGTTAAGCACAGGGACTGTGGGATCAGACTTGGAGGGCTCAGATTCTGTCGACGTCCCCTCTATGTGACCCTGGGAAAGTTTTTTAGCCTCACTATGCAGCGTTGTGCCTAAGGCATTTGACTGCTAACCGGAAGACTGGCTCTTCAAACCCACCAGCCACTCCTCAGAAGGAAGAGGGGGCAATCTACTTCCATAGTGATACTGCCTTAGAAACCCAAGGAGGGGTCGCTGTGAGTTGCCACCAACTCCATGGCAGTGAGTTTAGTGTTTTGGTATGCCTCAGTTTCCTTATCTGTGAAGTAAAGATAATACTTTGGGAGCTCTGGTAGCATAGTGCCTAAGGCACTTGACTGCTAACCAGAAGACTGGCGGTTCAAACCCACCAGCCACTCCTCGGGAGGAAGATTGGGCAATCTACTTCCGTAGTGATACTGCCTTGGAAACCCAAGGAGGGGGTCACTATGAGTCGAGTCCGACTCCACGGCACATAACAACATTACAACACCACCATAGGGTTGCTATGAGCTTTATATGAATTATGTGTAAAGCACTGAGGAGGTGGCTGGCACACGAAAAACACTCTAAGACGTTCGCTGTTATGTGATGCCTGCGTCTTTACTGTTTGCCAATTCAGGGATGCCAACTACGACCATGCCCCTCCTCTATTCTAGAAACGTGAGTTTCTCCTTTGAGGACAGCAGGGCCTTCAAAGTGCGTGGGAACTACAGGGTGTGTGTGGTATGTATGATACATTGGGATATAGAACGAAAATACTAGCATAATTATACATTTATCAAACCTTTAATTTCTGTTTTTATGTAGATTTTTATAAAGTGCCTACAGACACTTTAAAATGTTACTGCAGGTGTACATAAGACTTGTAAATAAATACTTACTTGGGGGTTTGGGCTGATTTTCTTTTTTCCCTTTTAAGTGGTATACAATCAAAAACCTTTCAGCCTTCCCAACCTTCTTGTCCAAAATCACCCGATGCCCCAGCCAGAAGCTTGCTGTTCAGTGTATTCCAGGAAACTGTCTAGTTTCTTTACCTTTTGATTCCTTTCCCTAGAATGACACCACTTCCACCCTACTCCAGTCTCATTTTTACATACCTAATTCCTGCTCTGCTTCAGGACTTTTCATAGGGTTTTCTCCAAATACAGGTCCTCATGTATTTGGTGGCACAGTGCCTAAGGCATCTGACTGCTAAACAAAAGGTTGGCAGGTCAAACCCACCAGCTGCTCTATGGAAGGAAAACGAGTCAATTTCCTTCCATCAAGATTTATCACCTTGGGGAGTGTATCCAAGAACATGTATAGGGTTGGCAGACAATGGTCCTATAAGTTTATGTGAATGATCAGAATTCCCAGGTGTATAGTAGATCTGACAAGGGGCAAGGTTGTGGTCACTGCTTGGTCACAGCCAGCTACCCAGAGGGACCGAGTAGTTGAACCTGTGGGCTCGGGACCATAGTCGCAGGGGACATCAAGCTCAACTGGCATAACATACTATACAAAACATTGTTCCACCTCCTACTTTGGTGAATTGTTGTTGTTGTTGTTAAGTGCCGTTGAGTCGTTTCCGACTCATAGCAACCCCATGCACAGCAAAACGAAACACTGCCCGATCCCGCGCCAGCCCCACAATCCCTGCTATACTTGAGCCCATCATTGCAGCCACCGTGTCAATCCATCTCGTTGAAGGCCTCCCCCTCTTTCGTCGACCCTCCACCCTACCAAGCATGACATCCTTCTCCAGGGAATGGTTCCTTCTTACAACATGACCAAAATACGTGAAACAAAGTCTGGCCATTCTTGCTTCCAAGGAGTATTTTGGCTGCACTTCCTCCAGGACAGATTTGTTAGTTCTTTTAGCAGTCCGTGGTACTTTCAGCATTCTTCGCCAGCGCCACAACTCAAAAGCATCAAGTCTTCTTCGGTCTTCCTTATTCATTCATTGTCCAGCTACTTTGGCGAACAGCAACTGGCAACTAGCAAGCTGCCATCTAGGTGCAATGATGGGTCTCTCCTCGTCCAGAGCAAAGAATAAAGAAAACCAAAGATTCATGGAAACAATTAGTCCTCGCGATTGGTACACCATGCAATCCTCAGCCTGTATGACTATGAGACCAGAAGAACTAGATGGTGCCTGGCTACCACTGTCATCCACTTGGAAGGGGATCTGTGTGGGAGATCCTTGATAGAGAGGGAGAACAATGTGGAACAAAACTCAAAATCGTTTGGAGAAAAGACTTGGTGGAACCACTGAGACTGTGGCCCCAAGCTGCCCTTCAGGTCTGGAATTGAACCCGCATCTGTGGTTTCCAACCAGACAAAACACAGGCATATGAGTTGAACATTTACCTGAGGTAGATACACTCCTTGGAGAGAACAATCATGGGAGAAAGAAGGGCTGCTTATGCACAAGGAGACAGCTCAGGGGGCAGGAGTGCATGGAGGGATGGACACAGGGAAGAGGTAACTGTTGGAAGGAAGTGGAGGGGAGCTGTTGCTTTGTAAATTGTGGTCAATGTCATGAGACAAAGTATATGTGAATTGCTGTATGGAAAGTGAATTTGCTCTGTAAATTTTCACCCAAATCACACACACACACACATACACACACACAAAAGATTTACCACCTTGG